TATCCTTGAATTTCCTGTATTAGACCTGTTTGATTCTCTAATCTGTGTTGGGGAATCAACCAACAACTTTGTGAAGTCCACTGAGATAACTGCTGTTGTGATTTAGGGCTATACAAAAATACATTGGATTCAGTTTAATTAATTAGAACAGAGAGAACAGAGACAGAGGCCAAAAATACATGCAGTTCAAACTAGTGATAGAAGTAATCTGTTTTAGAGCCAGGAACTAGTGACATGTATTTTTTAATTTAATTTTTGTGGTAATTTATTCACTCCAAGTGAGCTGTAAAACACAGCAGCTCCAGTCCTGACCATAACTAGGAAGTACAGTCACATTAGTCCGGTCCTCAGTTCTCTGTAGTGGCTCCTGTGGCTCAGAGAATAGACTTTAAAACAGCTCTGCTTGTTACAAGTCTCTCCATGGCCTCGCACCAAAGTACATCTGCGACGTAGGAACCAGCTCGGACTCTGAGACCAGGGGACCACAGGGACTGGCCTCCTGCTGGTTTCCAGAGTCAGAACAAAACATGAGGAGGCAGCGTTTCAGATTTATGCTGTTAAAATCTGGAATAGTCTTCCTTAAAATGTGAGACAGGTTTCTATTCCAGGTTGAACAATTCTGTTTACCTGCAACTGAAGGATTGTATCTGTCATGGGTAAGGTTTATTTCCTATTTTATTTTGTAGTTTGTTTTTTCTCTGTGTCTTACCTGCCCTGCCCTGTATCACCTGAGTCTTGTTAGTCTTGTATTTAGCCCTGTGTGTTCCTTCATTGTCTTTCCTCATCTTTTTTAGTTCTGTCCTCGGTCTCTGTTCTTTTGGATTTGTTTTATCTTTTTATTAAATCCATTATTTTTTGCAGTTTTGCATTCTGGGTCTCATTTCATTTTCCCTCGTGACAGTATCTTCACTATTTTTAATGCTCTGAAATTCTTTATGATTATAATGCCTTGTGTGACTGTTTCTATCTTGTTTTACACAGAGTGTATGAACTGTGCTATACAAATAAACTTTCCTTGCCTTGCCTGTATGTGTGTTAAAATGGGAATATGTTTTGAGTTAAATTAGTTAAAATGACCACCTAGGGGGTTACAGTGGCTCAGTTGTTAGAGCATTGGCTGAAGGTCAGGGGTTCAATCCCACCATGAGACCTACTTCATAGACTCCAACTGATATCTGCTGTCATTGTGTCCTTGGGCAAGACACTTAAACTTACAGCAGCTCAGGCTAGTGCAGCCATCCCCCTGTGGATTCATCACTTGCAGGAGGATCAGTGAGGAACTGGTGCAGCCCCTCCAACCCAGAAATGGATTAAGGGGAAGAAAATGGCTGGATAAAATGACCACAAACACAAATCTTCTGGTTTTCAGCAGAATTTATTTCACGTTTTCTGCAACTGAAATGGTTTCATTTTAGACAAGAAAATATCTTGTTAAAGTTGATGTCAACAACTGAAATAGTTTCATTTCAGTTGTCTCTCTCCTAGGTCTCTCTATGATCTCTCTCTGGTCTCTCTATGATCTCTCTCTGGTCTCTCTCTTGTCTCTGGTCACTTAATTTACAAGAGTGTCTCCTATTGGCAGACCTACAACCAGTAAGATTAGCTGGAGGCTCACAGTTAAACCATTGTTCAGAGGCCTCAAGGTTTTCAATTCATTTAGACCAATAAGATGGCTGCAATGGTGAGAGTGGGCGGGGCTAATCAGTGCTCATCTTCATTCATCACAGTTTGAAAAGTATCTGACAATTACTTTTACTTGAGTGAAGAAAAACGACCACATAAAAAATGTCATGACTCAAACTTAAACAGGACAATATTCTTCATTTTATTTTTTATTTGTAATCACACCGGTCCCTCGCTATAAAACAGTTCACTGTTCGCCGCCTTCTTGTATTGCTGAATTTTGTGTGCGGTTCATTTTGCATGAGCTGCATGTGTACTCAAACAACAACTTTCTGGTCTGTCTCGTGTCTGTCTCTGGTCTCTCTTTCTGGTCTCTCTCTCTGGTCCCTCTCTGGTCTCTCTCTCTGGTCTCTCTCTCTGGTCTCTCTCTCTGGTCTCTCTCTCTGGTCCCTCTCTGGTCTCTCTCTCTGGTCTCTCTCTCTGGTCTCTCTCTCTGGTCTCTCTCTCTGGTCCCTCTCTGGTCTCTCTCTCTGGTCTCTCTCTCTGGTCTCTCTCTCTGGTCTCTCTCTCTGGTCTCTCTCTCTGGTCTCTCTCTCTGGTCCCTCTCTGGTCTCTCTCTCTGGTCTCTCTCTCTGGTCTCTCTCTCTGGTCTCTCTCTCTGGTCTCTCTCTCTGGTCCCTCTCTGGTCTCTCTCTCTGGTCTCTCTCTCTGGTCTCTCTCTCTGGTCTCTCTCTCTGGTCTCTCTCTCTGGTCTCTCTCTCTGGTCCCTCTCTGGTCTCTCTCTCTGGTCTCACTCTCTGGTCTCTCTCTCTGGTCTCTCTCTCTGGTCCCTCTCTGGTCTCTCTCTCTGGTCTCTCTCTCTGGTCTCACTCTCTGGTCTCTCTCTCTGGTCTCTCTCTCTGGTCCCTCTCTGGTCTCTCTCTCTGGTCTCTCTCTCTGGTCTCTCTCTCTGGTCTCTCTCTCTGGTCTCTCTCTCTGGTCTCTCTCTCTGGTCTCTCTCTCTGGTCTTCCCATAATCCTGCTCCTGCCTCTCAGCACTACAGTATATCCACTGCAGCTTTATTTGTGTATGCACGGCTTTTGACAGCTACAGTAACGTTCAACCCTACAACCAACATGTTTGATATCTCTGCGATCGCACTCCAGCAGTCGTGAGTTCAGACAGCGTAGGAAGTGTGCGTGAGGGATTTTACAGCCTTAAAATATAGAACTGCTAATAAAGATTTTACTTTGTGTGGATTATTGTTAGAACACATCACCCCCGTGATGACCAGTGCAGTTGAACAAATCTAGATGCTCTTTTTTGCCATGTTTCAGCTTTCACCTGATGCAGATTCCTTCAGACGTGGACCGTAACGTGAGTGTCTCTGAGGGGCTGTCATGGAGGCCACACGTCACCTGTGAGCGGCTCTAATCCGGAGTGGCATCCAGCTCCCCTCTCCAGTGACGTGACTCGGTGATTACGAGAAGCAGACGGGACGCATGGCTGAGACGGGGGAGCACACACCATCAGAGTAAACAAGTCAACTAAGTCAAAAGAAAAGATATTTGTTCCATGGAAATGTAACATATTTACATAAATACAATCAGCAGATTCTTGTTGGCTGTTAGCTCTGAGCCATACAGTATGCATATGAGGCTAGTGCCACAGCTGTAGAAGTGAGAGAGAGGTTTGTCACTTGTTGGGGAGGTCAATGTAGTGCGGTGGATCAATGAAACAGCTGAGATTTTCAGATGCAAAACTTTTAAACCCATTGTCCTAGAGCTACAGCCTCAGTCCTGGATCCTCTGCCGTTCTGTCTGTGGGAGCAGATCCCTCTTTCAATATAGGCCTCCCTGAGGTTTCTCACATTCTTCCCACTGGGTTTCTGAGTGGTCCCTGGTGATGCAGGAGGGTCTAAGGACAGTGATATTCCTGGACATTTTTCGAACATTTATTAACATTTTTGGACAGCGGCCATTCCCATTGCTCCCTGTGGATCAATGGCTCCTATGTGTTTGTTATTATTGCATTACAGTTTGATTCTCTGATTTGTTTTGGGGGAATCCACAGCTTTGTAAAGTCCTCTGAGACACCTGCTGTTGTGATTTAGGACATTGCACAAATATATTGAATTTCTTTTCTCACGACCATTGCTGTTCAAATGCAGACTGTCCTTTAAGTGTGGTTTGTCAACCACAGCCAACTGCAGCCAAATGATGCTAGCAGAGATTGTGGCTGATATGAAGCCAAGTTACACATAGAATTGTGAATTATTGATTGGACGTGGTATTTACTTAAACCTCCCCAATGCTGCATCAGGGACTCATTCAAATAGAATATATAAGTCTAAAATATAATAGACACAGATGAAACCTCTGAGCTGGAGTTTGTTCATGTGATCTCTCAGCAAGCTTTGGAACTAGTTTGAGCAATGGTGACTTGAAGAAATCAAGAATGAGTGTGAAAAGAAACAAATTGACACATTTAAAAGCACAGAAAAACAAGACCTCTCTGAGTGGTTTGAATGTTTAGGTTTCCTCCAGGTGCTCCGATATCCCTTCCCACTAATAATATGTACAATAGTTCAGGGTGAGTGTGTGTTTGTGAGTGCGATTGTCTGACTACAGATGCAAATCAGCCCAAGGAACAAACCAGAGAGGTTTGTTGATTAACATGCACTGTGCCAAACAATTAAACAATAAATACATTTTAAAAAGCTCTTCAAAGGCCGATTTTGCGCAATTTATCCCCCTTAACATCCTCTTCTTTCTCACATCTACAGGTGCAACTCTAGAAGTGTTAAGCCCTGTTTCCACCATCTCTACCCAACTCTACTGTACTCAACCCTGATTGGGAGTTTAACTGTTACCAGGTCTTTCTTTAGTCCCTCCTGACCCCGGTTCTATCCAGGCCCAGCTTGAACTAGAGTGTTCTAACTGAAAGTGATTGGCCAGAGTACCGCTGGAATCCATGGTTACCAAGAAATTTCCACGGATACTTGTTTGTTGTGGGTACGTTGCTAGAATAAAGTACCAATTATGGAAACACAACCAGGTAGAGCCGAGCCGAGTAGAGTAGAGTAGAGTAGAGTAGAGTGGAGTAGGGCTGGTGGAAACAGGGCTCTCGAACCTGTTCTTCTGTGGAGCACTTCCACTGTCCTCTGTCCCTTACGCTCCTACGGTTTCAGTTTTATTTGATCTTTTCCTTTTTCTCAGACGTTTCTTGCCGATAGCCTCTTCCTGACTGCCTCACCCTGTGGGCAGGTAGGGCGTGTCGCTGTGGTAGTTGTAGTCCGGGCAAACCTTCTGCACCAGCTTGTAGTCGGTGCTGTGGAAGGTGATGAAGATGCAGATGACCTTGAAGGGCTTGGAGCACAACCAGGACACGTGGCTCTGGGTCTGCTCCTGAGGGCAGCTCTGGGACGGGTCGTGGGCGCACAGGGAGTTCCGAGTCCCCTTCTCCACCTTCTCATACTCCACACGACAGTTAAACAGCTTGGTTTCCTTGGTCTCCAGAGCGGTCTGCTGCTGCTGCTGCTGCTGCTGCTGCTGTTGCTGCTGCTGCTGTTGCTGGCGGTTGCTTGAGTGAGGTTGGACTCGGAACTCCACTGCCTTGGTCGGAGGCACCAGGCCCACAGAGACGTTTCCTTGGCCGGTGGAGTTGTGCCGGAAGTAGACGCTGAACGTGCCATTTCCGTGGTCGACGATTTTCCCCGTGATGAGGAGGTTGAGTTTGACGGTCTTGATGTTGGAATGGAAGTCACCCCAACCGAACATCTTCTTGAACTTCCCAGTTTTGACGATGGGTCTGCGTTTGGGCCTGGAGCGGGGGTCACGGTGGGATGACGGGGACGTGCTGTTGTAAAGCCAGTTCCAGTGGTCCTGTTTGGAGAAGGGATCCGCGCCGTCGTAGTCCAGGTCAATGGCTGTAAAGTTCTCCTTGCCGAAGAGATTCTGTGAGAGCAGGCGGCTGATGGACAAGCTCTTGCTGCTACTGCTGCTCGCCTCAGCCCAGTAGGTCTTCACTTTAGATTTGGGAGTCTCCCGAAGATGGGAATCAGCACCGATGACCTGCAACAAGAAATTATACGTTATTGGGTGAGTGTTGTGAATGGTCAACACATGCTTTGGGTTCTCAAAAACAAATCAGCAGTTGTGTTTGGATCCATCCACGCTAATATCAGGAACCTTTGGCACAGAACTATGACTCGGTCCCTTCTGTCTAAAAGCTCCTGTCTCAGTCCTGTAACAGTAATGTCATTAAAACACTATTTTTCAACAGAGCAGTATTAAAACAAAGAGACCAGAGAGGGACCAAAGAGCAGACAACTTAAAGAGCCGAGGCAGACATCTTTGAGACCCAGGGGCAGTCATCTTGGAGACCCCCAACATTGTTGCAGTATATAGTGCACAAGCTCACATAATTTAGTTTCAGTGTTGGCATCATATGTGTGGTGTAATGTCTCATTTTCAGTCCTATCCAGAACGTCCCAGTTCTGTGACCTTGCCTTGTATCATCTGTCCTGACATCTGTATACCTGCTCCTCTCGCTGACCCCTCTGTTGCATTACCTAATGTCCACTGCCTGCCTAGTGGAGTGTGAAATGCCAAGACAAAGATAAAAAGTCTATCTCCACCACACTCGCTTGCTTTTACCTGCCCAACGAGGCCCCAACGCATGATGGATGATTCACTCAGCCTGTTCGATGGGGACTTACACCAACTCCCCCCCCCTCCCCCATCCCCCTCGATCCTCCATCTTTCCCCCATTCCAAAAACCAAGATGCAGTCACTCTGTGTCGCGCACACGCTGGTCACACCGCGTCCAGATCAATACGGCGAAAATAAGCTTTGTACTATTTTAGTGAAGTTCAGACCGTGTGACATTGTGCAGCAGACAGTGAGTGTGTATGTTTGTGTGTTTGTGTTTGTGTGGGGGGGCTGATAGGTGGGCCTACAGTTGTTTTGAGGAAGCGACCAGATAGATATCAGAGAGAGAGAGAGAACAGAACGAGAGATCGAAACCAGAGAGACAAGAGACAGAGCGACCAGAAAGAGACCAGGGAGAGAGACCAGAGCAAGAGATCAGAGAGGCATGAGAGAGACCAGAGAGAGGCATGAGAGAGACCAGATAGACTCCAGATAGAGTGACCCAAGAGAGAGACCCAAGAGAGAGACCAGAGAGATAGAGACAGTTCAATGTGCTTGACATTCTGCGGTGTCAGTGTAGCAGCCGTGAAGCATGCGAGTGAACTTTGGTTTGGGCTGGGTGGTGTGTGTGTGTGTGTGTCTGTGTGCGTGTGTGTGTCTGTGTGTGTGTGTGTGAGGTCTGAAACGATGGCCTCCAGTTGTTTTGAAGAGCAGAGAATGATGGATGCGAGAGCAGAGAGGTGGACATTCAGGCGGCGCTCACCTCTCTCTCCGCGAGGACAAAGAAAAAGCAGCCGCGGTGCTTTCAGAAGACCACAACATATTGATGCAACCAGATATTGTGACGGACTTCTTGGCATTACCCAAAAGTCTGCAGTGATGCTTCTCATTTAGACCGGAGCAGAGATCTTTTTTGACATATTAAGGAATTGTATGTGTTTATTTTGGCCCTGATATGAGATTAAATGAGAATATATGTGTTTTTGTATGTCTATAAGGAGATATATTATGCTTTTCCCCATGATACAATATGGAAAAAACAGACTTGGTGTTGATTATAGAACTATCTACACTAATATCAGGATGCACAAACATGTGGCTCCATCCCCTCTGTCTAAAAGCTCCTGTCTCAGAACTTTAATAGTATGATGTCATTGTACCACTGTGACATCACACTCGGAGTGAGACAGAGCGATACCAGATGGAGAGACCATATAGGAACAAGAGAGAGAGACCAGAGAGAGACCAAAGAGAGAACAGAGAGAGAGCCCAGACAGATAGACCATAGCGAGGCCAGAGAAGGACCAGAGAGACATCAGAGAGAGACCAGAGGGAGACCAGAGGGAGACCAGAGAGAGACCAGAGAGAGATGTGTTAATAAGAAACATGTTTTTGAATGATCTGTACTGGAATGACAGTGACATGAAAGTGTGTAGGTATTTTCAATCTGCACACCCTGGACTTTTCAACCAACAATCTCTGAGGTCTGTTCCTCTTAGACTCAGCGACGTAGACTGTTCACAGGTAGACAATGTTTACATGGACTGTTCACAGGTAGACAATGTTTACATGGACTGTTCACAGGTAGACAATGTTTACATGGACTGTTCACAGGTAGACAATGTTTACATGGACTGTTCACAGGTAGACAATGTTTACATGGACTGTTCACAGGTAGACAATGTTTACATGGACTGTTCACAGGTAGACAATGTTTACATGGACTGTTCACAGGTAGACAATGTTTACATGGACTGTTCACAGGTAGACAATGTTTACATGGACTGTTCACAGGTAGACAATGTTTACATGGACTGTTCACAGGTAGACAATGTTTACATGGACTGTTCACAGGTAGACAATGCCAGCCTAAACTGCCTGTTACTGTTGTAAATACTGTAAACCTGTTAAACCTCTTCAGTCTCCTACATTTGCTCTGGAGTTCTGTTTGCAAACCATAATCGAATGACCGTTAAAGGGATTTATTTTTTCACATTTAATTCTTAAATTAGCGACCTGATTGTTTCTGAGTGTTGACGAGGGCACGGTGACGTTTTGGGGTCTTGTTTGAGTTTGCTGTCACTCTCTCAGACGAAAATGTGGCAAAAAACGGTCACTGTGTAAAAAGTGGTTAATTAGTGGAGCTACAAATATAATGGAGTTTCTGGAAATATAATGAGTGTTTGACTGAAAACACAAGATGTAAAACCTAACCCTAACAGGATTCCCTGGAGATAATGTTTAATATGGGAAGAGCCAATCAAATCATAAATATTCGCATTAGATTAAAAAGAGAGAAGAAATACAATAATGCTTTCTACTCTCTGAAAAGGAAATATACTGTATCCATCCATCCATTTTCTTCCACTTATTCATTGATGGGTCATGGTGGCAGTAGTCTGAGCCGACACGCCCAGACTTCCCTCTCCATACACTTCCATCAGCTCATCCAGGGAATTCTGAGGTCTTGGTCTCCTCCTGGTGGGACAAACCGGAACACAGGGAGGCGTTGAGGAGGCATCTCAAACAGATGGAGAAGCAGCGGCTCTACTCCGAAATCCTCACGTTTGACTGACCTATCTCTAAGGTAGAGATCTGATAAGGTCCTCGGAAGACACCAGATAAGATCCTAGAATTCCAATTTCAACAAATACAAAACCTGTGTTTCTCCTTGGACAGTGATTATCTTGCTCCCTGTAATGGCTCCTATGTGTTTGTTATTATTGCATTTCCTGTGTTCAAACTGCTGATTGATTCTCTCGCTGGTCTCTTCCTGGTCTCTCTCAACTCTCTGGTCTCCCCCTTGTCTCTCACTGGTCTCTGATCTGTTGTGATTTTGGTCAATACACAAATACACTGAATTGACTCTTCTAAGGACTTGTATGGATCTCAGTCTGGATCCAAACCTGGTTCTTCTTAGCTCTGATGGATTGTACAGCATCCAGGGGCAACCACTATTTATCGGCCCTATTACCGCCTACATAACACTCCGCACAATGGAAAAATCTCCTTCAAAAGCGCCTGGATCTACCCGAGTGTCCGGCCAGCTCTGACTTATAGGCACATTACACCGAGTCTGCCTCTGCGCATTTGGAACGCCGGCTTTTTATCATGTTTCGGCTGATAACGGGCCAATAAAAGTCAGAATGTGACCGCTGACAGCATATTTTTACGTAAAAGGGGAAGTCAGCACCTGGTCTGATGAACTGGGAGAAAATGGGAGAGGAATGGTCCCTGGCTCGGGTGTGTTATAGGTCTATGCTCACTGGAGGGTCCCTGAAGTATTGTATGGCTGAAATATGCGCTGCCTCCAGGGCCTGTGCGTAAATAACAGCGCTGAGACTATCTGGGCTTTATGTGAGGTGAGGTGTGGAGGCTGCTGGAACTGGGGATGTCCCATAAGAAGCAGTGTGTTTTCATGTTTTGAAATGTGGAAAAATCAATCTATATCAATATTTGGACTAAAAACGCAGTAGAATAATGACAAGGTTGTTAACTGCATGAATCAATTTGAATGAGAAATTCCTATTCAAAATTTTAATTTGCATATGGTTTAGTCCTTTGTCCATATACAGTACGTATGTATGATATTATGTGGAAGAACAAAGGAAGGTTTCTCACCCATCTTCACCCAGTTGGCAGGTTTTGTTCTTCTTCAAAGAACTTGTTCAAGGGCAAACTTTTTCTTTGAAGAAGAACGAAACATCGGGAAAACCTGCTAACTGAAGTACAGATGATGGGTGAGAAACCTTCCTTGGTTTTGACTAATCCCTATACGACTGAGAGCTTACACAAAGTTATGTGGAAGGTTTGCTGTTTAAACCTGTATCCACATGGACTAGAGGCTAACAGTGGTACTGCAGCCTATAATCACGTTGGCTGTTGGGCGATTTTTCCATAGGATTTTGCTGGGAATTTTAGTGTTTCTTGTCATCCTCAACTCTTTTTCTTCTATATATCCAAACTTTTTTAACACAAACTCGTCCCGCTCTAGCTCTGCTCTAATCAGCGGCGCTCTGATTGGTCAGAACGCTCACATGTCCTTCTGTGGTCTCCCTTGGCGGTCTATCTCTCTGTTCTCTCTTTTGTCTCTTTGTGGTTTATCTGTGGTCTCTTTGTCTGGGGTCTCTGTGGTCTGGGGTATCTATTGTCTCTCGCTCTGGTCTCCCTGTGGCTCTCTGACTGATTGATTGCATTTGGGACGTCCATGGTGACTCAAGGCCAAGAATGCTTGTACATGTTTGTGAAAACAGTCGATAGAGCAGAACTGCGATTTCATTACACTTGTGGTTTGTGGCTTATTTTCTCATCATTTTGAAATAGTTTTATTTGTAAAGCGGAAAATTGTCTTTCAGGTTTAGGTGAAAATTTGGTGAGCACATTAACAAGATCGCACAAAATATATATTTTTTTGTGTCATGTATCACCCATAAATTATCAGCATTTCTGTTGAATTTTGCTCCGTCCTGCAATCTTTCCTGTGGCTGCTCAGGATTGGGGGTCAGAGGAGTCAAGAGGCCATAGAGCCTCGAGTCCTGGGTCCCCGGTGTAATGGCCCCCCTGTGGACCACTTCATTATCTCCCTCCCTTTCAAAGACTCATGCCCTGTTCCTTCATACTACCATGCCCAGACCCCAACCAGACCCCTCCGAGCCCCTCACAGCACCTGCGAGCCCCCTTATTAACATCAAAAGGTCGAGGGAGAATGTTGCATAAATGTTTCGCCTATTATACATACGGTTTATATACACATCTCCTAACCAAATGAGAAATGTATAACCAATGACCTCAGAGAGTGGGTACAGTTTTCAGGTTTTCCGAATAATTTATTAAAGACCATATTACAAGTTGATAGAATGTTTACAGCAAACAGGACTAGATGTCTGCCCCAGGTCTGCAAGATGTCAGAACAATGGCCTGTGCTCATTGGTTCATGCTTGACCCATGGATGTCCCGAAAATGAGCAGAAGTGACACATTCTGGTTCTCACGGTTTCACACGTTCAGACTAATTAGAGCGCTAGAGACCAGATAGAGACCAGATAGAGACCAGATAGAGACCAGATAGAGACCAGATAGAGAGAGAGGGCAGT